CGACTCGAGCGCTGAGCCAGCGGTCGCCATCGATTTTTGCGTCCTTCGGCACAGTCACCCCGCCAGTGCTTTTTGCCTGCCCCCGGCCCCGTTGTCGGCTTTTATTGTCCCAACGAAAATATCCTATTTCAGACCTCTCTTAATGGCTTTTGCCCTATGTCTTATAATAAGCTCAGTCACAGGTCTTGTGCGTTTTTTTCCTTTTTGGGTGCCAAATGGCTAAAAAAATGCAAAGTAATTAAAACATGAATTACCGGGTAATGACCGGGCGCTCTTGGGCTCTGATGGTTTGTTCGTCGTATAATGTGGCCGTATAATGTGGGGCGAATAAAGTTCTACACCTAGCGGGCGCGTCAGCCAAAAAGTAGGAAGTAGGAAACATAACATTTGTTGGTTTCTCGAGGCCCAGTGATCATGGAGAATAGTATTTATTACAAGTTCATCGTAAAGGAATTTCGTATTATTAGCTGTTATTTTGGCATGATGTAGCACAACGGTGATCTTTAGGCAGAATGGACGTTACCAATCTCGCGGATGAAAGTAGTGTTCTTAAGCCTTACTACCAATCTGTGCAGCATATATTAACTACGGTGATCGGTTTTGCGTACAATTTCTTGCCTGTTCTATCTGCCAGCATTTTCCTTGTACGCCTTTGCGACCTCGCTGGTGTTGGGGGGAAAACTCCGCACCGATTTTTTTGTTGCTTTTATTGCTGTCACGTCTGTCGGCCAACAAACAGTTCCCGCAGACAGCAATGGTGACAATCTCCTGGAAGCTGTGCTAATGCCGAGTAGGCAATTGCTCCTTTCACCGCTGTTGAATCTTGGCCAGTCCATTTTTATCGCTGGTCGTACAGAAACCCGGATAAAGTGATGGTGGTGGTGTTGATCGTGATAGTAGCAGCAGTAATCGGTGTGATCCGCGCTTGGTACTTGTAATTAACACGAACAGTGAGCTTGCCCGACCGTTTTACCCCAAGTCAGCACACGAGAGGAAAAGAAGGCTGTGCCAACAATTTGCAAGTCGTTCTCACAAAGAGGTGGCGTGTATTTATTCAGTTCGTTTGATGAGAAAGCGTTGACGACAATGGACCAATAAGATCTTACGAGAGATCAATAGCTCCGGTGCGCGCTCTCATGGCAACGGCGTGGCAGATGCACTCAGGGGCCTTACTCTGGGATGACTCATCATGGGAATAGAGACCTTCCCAACAGCAATAATAATATTAATTATTTTAGTAGTAGGAGTAGTAGTAATTAGAGTCGTGAAATATTACCTCTCATTTATATGCCTGCATAACGGCACATCCACTCCGCAACTAACACTGTTTCTGAACACCTTTTAGAACAACATTACACCCTTACACGTGGCTGCGAAGTGGGGACGTTTGCAAATGGTGAAGCTACTGCTGGATTCCGGTGCCATCGTGGACTGCCGTACGCGGGACGGTCTCACGCCTCTGCACTGTGCTGCCCGTTCTGGTCATACTGCCGTCTGCAACATGCTTATCGATGCTGGCGGCAATCCCTCTGCTAAGACTCGCGTGAGTACCCGCCTTCCGCTCACTAATAGCTTTACATTGCTATTGAGTTTGCCTCACATGCTTAGCCGTTTTTTTCTTACAGTGTGCATGCAACCATAAATGTCCACACTTTTTTGAGGCGACAGCCGCCTCAGGAGTCATGCATTTTAGCCTGTTTTTGAACATGACGCCGAGGAATCCCCCAAGTAGCCTGAGTCCCCCCCCCCAGCACTCACATCGAAAGCAACAAAACAGCAAGCACCCCGTGTCACCCACCGATCCCGGTAGACGGCATTTCTTCGCTCATGTCAGTCTCCGTCGACCTATCAGATCACGGTTGTTGTTGTTTCCTCTTTCACTGAAGTCTTCGGAACGCCTCTTTCTAACGCAGAGTTTCGGCTTCCTTTTCTTTTCACTGCCTCCTGCCACCAAATGTCTCCTTCAACTTCCGCGGCAGTCACCACCTGCTGCAGCACAGGCTTGCGATTTAAACCCTCCTTACCCCAGCCCCCCCCCCTGGCAGCCGAACTGTGAAAACACTTTGCTGCGACCCCTGCTGGCTGCGCGCTAGGCAGCCGAT